ACTAACAAAAAACAATGGAACAACAACAACAACAACAACAGTTACAAACTGCATTGACAGCAATTAAAGTTTTGCGTTCAAGTGTTGGTCAAGTATTTGATTCTTTGGGAAATGGATTACGTGCTGATCATGGAGAAGAAAATAAAGAAAATAAATATTTGCTTGAATTGCAAGAGCTACTAACAACTGTTAATGTGAATCTAAGGTATTATTTTAAGTCTTTAAAAATATATATTTTTTAAAAAAATATATTAAATATATTTTTATGTTTAGAGATGTTGAACAAGCTGTAAGTAGTTTAAATCCACCACCAGGAGCATTTCATTTAGCAAGTACTACATATCTTAGTCAAGAAACAACACAAGAAAGACAAGCATTATATAGTACATTAGTCAATAGTTATAAATGGACAGATAAAGTTCATGAATATAGCAATGTTGCTCAATCAATACTTAGTCAGAATTCTTTAAAAAGATCATACAATACAACTAGCAGAGCAAAAAGAGGTAGAATTCAAACAAGTAATCATAATGTTCCTCAACAGTAAGTTGTATTATTATAATATATTAGAAATTATAATTTATTATTTATAAACAATATATTTTAAATTATAATTTTTTGTGTATGTGCATATGAATCAATATCAGTAAGTTATTTATTATTAATATACATTAATATTTTTTTTGTAGGCAAGTAGATTCTTTAATAGCCACATTTGATAGACTTTTTAGTGATATGACAGTATCTGTATCTCGACCATTTGCATCAAATGCAGTATTACACGTTACACTAGGACATGTTTTGAAAGGAGTTATAGCATTTAAAGGTTTAATGATTGAATGGGTAGTAGTTAAAGGTTATGGAGAAACTATGGATTTATGGACAGAATCTAGACATAAAGTTTTTCGAAAAGTAACAGAAAATGCTCATGCTGCAATGTTACATTTTTATTCTCCAACATTACCCGAATTAGCTGTACGATCATTTATGGTAAGAAAATATGAACACTTTATATTTTTCTTATTTGGAATAATATACATCATAGAATATACATCATATATTAAAGATTTAATTGATTATATATTTTTTTATTTTATAGACTTGGTTTTATAGTTTGAATAACTTATTTAGTGATCCATGTAAGCGTTGTGGTTTACATTTACATAGTGCTTTACCTCCAACATGGAGAGATTTTCGAACTTTGGAACCCTATCATCAAGAATGTAAACCATAAGTATTTATTGAAAAATTTTATAAATTGTAAAAATAATATTAAATAATATACTTTCATTTTTTTATAAAATGTATTTAATTAAATATCATATAAAATCTATAAAAATAGAAATTCATAAAATCTATAAAAAAATATGATAAATATTTATATATCTCTTCCTATTTAAATAAATAAAAGAACAATGATATTACTTAATAAATATTTTTATTTATAGATTTTAAAAGATGTGTGTATGATCTTCCACTTAAATTTATCTGTCCAGCTTAAATACATTAATCATAAATAATTAAAATATTATAGACAATTGCTACATATATATACAATTGCAAATAAAACCATGTTTGCAATATTACATATTTGCGTTTAGTAATAAACTTGAAATTGCATAAATTAAAAACAAAATGAAGAAAATATGAAATGATTTCTTTTTAAAAAAAATATATAAAATTTGATAAACATAAAATAAATAATTTGAACAAATTCAATGATAATAAATTGCAAATTCTAAAAATTTTTTTAAATTTTAATTTTTTTTTTTTTTTTAATTTTTTTTAAATTAAATTTTAATTTTTTATTTTATTGAATACTTAACATATTTTAACTAAAATATAATATAAATTAAATACAGTCTTTTTCGTAAAATAAATGTAAAAAAGAATTATATCAATAAAAAGTAAAATTTCTACTTAGAGATAAAATACTTATTTTTTGTGTCAAGATTTACATGTAATATAAAAATGAACAGACAATTAAATTTTTCTTGTTTGGAATATAATAGTTTTGCAATCGATGGTTTTTTTCTTTATCTGTATCCTACATATGTATACCATTCTTAATATTATTACATGCTATTTAGTTTTACGTAACTCTAATTAATATTATTTAAATATAATTATATAAGTATTTTTCACATAACTGTACACATTCACATTTGGAATATTGGTACTCTCTATGGAGCACAAGTCGTTTAAGTGGCAGTGAACTTATTTTACAAATCATTATTCTGATCACTTTGTTGGACTGTTCCAATTTTTTCTTTTCTCATCTTTCTTTAAGGCTCTATAAATGTTGCAATACTCAGTGAATTTAATATCATATCATTGATTCAAAACTATATATGCAATCATAACTGATTTTTTTTTTATCAAAGTCATGGTAAGTGCGGAATAGGTCCTCGCATAAAGATTTGCCGTTCATATATGTATATGTATATTTATATATGCATAATATTACAGCTTTAGAAACGAGTTATTTATTTATTATATCGTGTAAATGAATTATAATGAAATTGATTTTTTGGTACGAAGGAATGTTTTCTTCTTAAAACACTTTAAACACGTACACATTATTTTAGACCTTCGAAAACAAGAGAAATGTCTCATGTTTTGTAATTTTATATTCATATGTATATGTGGCATAACTGTATCTCATTGTTATATTTATCTAATGATATTAATTATAATTTTCATTGTGACGAAAGTAGAAAAATCGTTCATAGATTATCTTTTATTTCTTTTTTAAATGTAGATAATTTTGTGTTTGCTTCGAAATATTCAATAAACATGTATCACAGCATGCCTTTTCTCGAGAGGATTAATAAAGAAATATAATTCAAATTTCTACAACTTATTTAGTTAATTCTGAATTCATATATATATATATATATATATAACAGTTTAAGGTAATTTCTGTCACTAATTTAAATATAGATTTAAACAAATTTCAAGATGTGAAAAGTAAATCTTTGGTATATCATAAAATAACTTTTCTAATACGATTCAATTTTTTTTCGAATTCGACTCGTCAACTTCATTTGTTCAGATGTGTAATTATTTTGAGTCGAAATAATTGCAACTACGGTATATATTATTGTGTTTAAGCTTGTAAGGATTTTAAAAAATGGATATGCTACCAGCACTCGGTCCGCGATTATTGTACAACCATAACACGAGTGAGAAACAGTTCATTTCTGTTCAACATACATATAAGTACGATATTAACGAAGTTTATGATCGTTATCATTAGTCTGTAACATTATGCTACTATAAACTAGTAGCTATGTACGTATGAATGTATAATTCTATCCTAAGTATTCATAATTAATATTTGGAATTCTGATAATACTCTAATGCAAGGAAATCTACTTTAGCATATTTTCAGTTCAATAGCTTTATTGCCTTTCTCACTGATTCTGTATGATTTGGACAGCTTATAATTAAAAGTTTTTTCTTTATCTTGTCATTTTTTTTTTCTTATTAAATTATAATATACGATTTATACCGCACACGATGTTATTTATTTATTTTTTGTTTATTCTACTCTAGATATCATGTTGCGATTATACCGCAATAATTTAAATAGCAAACCGATTTGAGATTAATTTATTTATAAGCTAACGCGATCAATATATTCTTTAGTGTTAGTTTATTATTCTATTTCTGAACCTATTTTTAGAACTAAAAGAAATTTATTCAAAATCTAAATTCATTTAGATTTTTTAATCTGTAATGTAATGTATACGCATAAAATATCATAAAAAGCTGAAATAGGTTAAATAACATTCTAATTTTTTTTTAATTAAAAGTTGCGTCATTGCATAAAATCTATTTTTTAATATCCAATATATCTTTTAAAAAATGAAATTACGAAGGAAGTTCTCCAATAGAAAGAGAGCTTGAAACAGTATATAATGCATTCGATTAATATTCACCTTAAGTAATCAGTTGTTTGTGTATCGGTATTGAGTATATCGCTCGAACGATGAATTAATTTTCATATAACGCTATTTTGAATAGGGAATTGAATATACTACATCGAATAATATAGGATTATTATACATTTTCTTATATAACGACGTAATAAGTACCGTAGAAGTATACAGTATGTACATATATATACATATAAAGGAAATTTTCTCAAAGAATTTGCATAACATCAAATGACGTGCATTTTGGTGTAAAACATTAATGACAAAAGGTAGTAAGAAAAGGCATGCCTCTAGATGTACGAGGTATTATAGCGTTATAGTTCAAACGAAAGGGTTCGACATTTCGTGCAAAATTTATATATCTAATATTAAAATTGCCATTTTTAAAATCTCTTAATTAAAGTTTAATTTGCAATTTAATTTTCACATTAATATTAATCTTAATTTGTAAAACATTTGTATAAGTTTTATCTATTTAAAATCCTAAAACAATCGACTATCGAAATAAATTTGCACATGCGCATAATTCAAAGCTTACTGATCGTAATAACTAACACCCATTCGTTTGTAGCACTGTGTCCCCGTACTTTTATAAGATAAAACGAGTTGTAAATATTGTTTTTATGAGGCACCATATAAGAATGACGTTATCGTAATTAACGTCTTTAACATTGCGACTGTTAAAGCGATAGACTGAATCTATCTTTCAGTTTAATGTTGATTGAATAATAATTTGGTCGATTCCAGATTCGAAATTTGTTCCTAACTTCAGTCATAAAATTCATTAAATTCAATTTATCAGTAAACATATAATCCATAATCATAGTACAGTGCAACGACTTATAAAGATAACAATAATATAAAATGACATATAATTTCAATAAATTCTATGAAATTAACGATATAAAAGTGAAGTATATAGATATACACCTCTTTTCTTCTGGGGTTTCGTTAAACGATTCGTCGCATCTAGCAATTATATGTTCTATTATTTTCTTCGATGTCGCACAAAGTTCACATACTTTTTAATGATCACGATTCAATTTCTTATGCATTTTCTTTTTTTATCTCTTTTTCAAACATATGTCTAGGCACAATCACTTTCGCAACATTTCATTAGATTTTTTCTCAAAGATTCTCGTTCTTAATTCATTTTTTTTTTTTTTTTGTTTTTGGTTTGACATGAAAAAGATTTGCGTATCATATTGAACGCTATAGTTGTGATTTATCTATCGAAACCGTATCGAAAAATCTGCAAACCATCAACAAGTCTTTTTGCCATTACAACCACTCGTTTACACTGTTGTCATTCTATTTGTTCAGAAAATTGTAATTGCTAAGTTCTGCGAAATTAAGAACGTTTCGATCTTACGATTAGATATTCATTCATGAAGATAACCTTACATACGACGTTCGTATTACGAACATACTGAATTGAATCAGGCCGCGCTAAGAAACGTTCGCAATTGACTTCATTCTATTCAGTATTCAAATACAATCAACAAGTGATTTTCATTCAATCATTGAATTAGGCATGATTGCACGATACATTATTCTCAAAATTCTCCGTGACACTCAAACCAATAGCGGTTGCGTTCACTGCTCGACGTAAACTGTTCCGCAAGAAAGCCGCGCAGGCCTTGCTCCTCTCCGTGATGATCTCGTACAGTTGATTTTCCAATGTGAGGCTGTTGGTGGTGAGCAGTAGCGGCAGTGGAATTGACGCGTTCATGATCACTAGATTACCAATATTAAGAGGAGCTGTTTCCCATTGTCAGACACCGCTGTTCGGAAAGCGTGGCGGGGGAAGCGGGGGCGGTGATCTCTCCGGTTGAGCGGGTGCGTCGGAAGATCGCTCTGATCCAGCTGCAAACACAACTGTTCATCCAGATTAATCAGATGCACATTTTCAATGCGTATTTTCAATACTTGTTACACTACTCTTCGCATTCATCTACTTAAACCGTTTCAATTTAGATAGACGACAAATAGCACAAGCTTCTACGATTCTTGTAGAAAAATTGTTAAAAAAAAATTGAACTGTTTTTTTAGCAATGTGATTTTGAGTTAATCGAGATTTTCGATTTATATCAAGATCAAGATTGAATAATCGCACTATTAAAATTATAAAATTCTATCACTATATTTTTTTCTAATTGTGAATAGAATATTATTTTATTCATTTATTTTATTTTAAAATAAATGAATTATTTTAAAATGATTTTGATGAATATGAATATATTTATATAAAGATTGTAAAAAATTATTTGGTTTATGATAAATAGTGTTAAATATAAATAAATAGTGTCTGTTTAAAATATGACGAATGTATAAATCTATATTTGTAATCTATATTTTATAAAAATTTTTGTTTTACATAATATGTATATTTAAATTATATAAATATTATTAGTTTCATATTAAAAAGTTAAATTAATCATCAGCATCCTGAAAATATCATAAAAAGATTTGAAAAATGATAAAATATAATTTTATTCTTAATTTAGTCAGTTTTTAAATCTGAAAGTATTGTCAAATAATATTAAAAAAAACATATATATATATAAAACTTTTAAATATTATAATTACAAGCATTGTGTGATGCGTTTATAAATAATTATTTTGTTTGTAATAAATATATTATAATAATAAATTTTTTTAAAATATTATTTGTATCTATCTAATTTTTATTATGAAAGACTTATATATAACTCTAAGAATCTCTAGCATAGATATATGCACGTTATTATTTATTCTGGTTAAATTGTTTAATAAATAGAATTGATTTCTATGATATCTTATTTTTTAGCATTTCATCAAGTAAAAAATAAATTTAAGAATGGCATTTTGAAATAAAAAATGCACAAGATTGATATTTACTAGCCATAACTTCTTTTTTTTGTTTTTTAATCTAAATGAAGTAAATTACATTCATGCGGACATGCCCATTACACCATTCATGCTTCAATTGCCATAGTATTGAAAAAATTGGTTTTGCAGCTTCATATAAAAAATAATGATAATGTAATATTATTTGTTTTTAAATCTTGTAAGGTTAACATTCATATGACTCCTCACTCTTTCATGTTTTTACATTTCTTAAATCGATTTATGGAGACCATATGTGTTAATGTAAGATCCTCAATGGCCTACCTCCATATAAACTACTACAAAGGCCAGTGTTAATAGCGCATAATACATGTATACTCTTAGAATGGAAATAGAAATGAAGCCAATATATCTACTAGTTTTATTTATAAGAATTATAGGAATATATTAAAATTGACTAGAATCAGATTGTATATAGGATAACAGATTATCATACTGCACACAGATGACAGAAGAGAGACATGTAATATATATATATATATATATA